TTTCAACTAGTCCTGGACCGGACTTTTTAGGGACCGGACCGGGACCGAACCAGACGAACCATTTAACATCCCTAATTTAAAACATGATTTAAAACACGATGTTTTAAAACATTTGCCATCCCTAGTTTATATGAACCCAAGTCGGGTTTATTTGAACCTAAGACAGATCTAAACCGGGTTTATTTAAACCCAGACCTAAGACAAAAAAGAAAATTAGAAACCTCAGACCCGGTGCAACGCTCGGGCCCTGAGAGCTAGTAGCATTTTATATAACTACTTATATATATAAAATATATATACTAAAAAATTGCCCAGTTGTAAAGTTTTTTTGGTAAGGTTTCAAGAATCCGAACTTTATAATAAATTTAAAACTTTTTAGCTATAAATTACAATTTGAAGATAAAATATATAGTCAATATTTAACTATAAAAGTATAAAAGTTTATCTAGTTTATCTGTAATATACGTAAAAAAAGTTAAACTTTATAACAGATAAAAAAATCGGTATTCGTTATGTAACCTTAATAATCAATAATGCAATTAATTTAAATTGCAGAACCTATCACTCCCGTTTATGTGTCCTTTTGATTGGTTACTTTATAGATTTTCACGTGCGGGTCGCAAGTGTAAACAAATTTACTATTGGCGGTGTGCCACGTTTAAGGAAATTTTATGATTTTGATTCTGGCAGCCACACCTATAATTGCACAATCAGACTTTAAAGGAAAAAATGTAATGAGGCGCGCAATAATAAAAGCAAGCCATTGGTTTTAATTGTTTTTGCCACCTTTCGCTGGTCTTGACAAAGCAATTTTCAAAGAAGGGACTAGAACGCATCGAGAGATTTCTTAGAACACATCTTTATTAAATCAGAATTGCCTTTTTGTTACCAACAACGATGTCGATAGCAAGAGATATACCCGCGATAAAGAAAGCAGCTCCTGGTTCATCGCTTCCAGCCAACTATAGTACAACACCTTCAGGAACGATTTACTCTAGTACACCTGGAGGTTAGTTTAGCGCTCTGGGTATTTTACTGACCTTATACAAGTCACTGGGTTCTACAAATGGTTATACTGGTTTAATAACTGATCACTCATTATTCGATCATCCGCTAAATCATCAAAAGTTTTCAAAGTAGTCTAATTTGTTACTTTTTGAAAACTAGGTAGCAGAATCATTTACGATCGTTCTACACTTCTTAGCCTCAAGAATTCACCTCTCGCTAAGACACCACCAACCAACTTGGCTTATGTCCCTGGTGTTACTATGCAACATAATTCTAATAACGATAGTACAACGAAGCCTAGTAATGGCACGACTCAGATTTCGGGGCATTTAGCTCCTCCACAGTCGACTCTTCCGGGAGTTCAAAAAAAAGTCGATGACAACGGAAAAAGTGCTTCTGGCGCTGAAAGCGGTGACGAAGACGCCAATCAACAACAACACGGTATTTATTTATTATCATGAGTTATATTTATTTTTAGAGTAGTATCTAATATTTATCATCTAATATGAATAGACGTCATGTTTGATATGGACATGGAATAGCGTGTGATCCATATTCACCTTTCGAATTTATCTGATTTAATGATTGCATAAATATTATAAATATTCATAGAAATTCATTTGAAATTTATAGTGATTAATATGCATGTGTCTACAATTTAATATGAATTCTTCTTTCCGTGTTTCTAATTAGAAATTATTTTCACAACCTTTTCCCTTTTCTTTCTTTCACCTTATGTATTCTCTTTGTGGAATAGTCCCTCCTTTGAAAATTTGTTGCTTAATTTGCCGGTTTTAAAACCTTGCAAATGAATTTTGGACACAAAGTGGCATTTGTACACCTAATGTATTTTGTAAAGACCAAAATTAAAGGCCCCAAAGAAATTTTATTTTTTAGATCATGACAAAAGAAATACAAATGGGATCTTTGCTAGGAAAATCACCCTTCGAGATTTTCCGATCGGGCAAATTCGAACAAACTTAGACCAGAATATC